TCATTGTTGTTTTGGCGGGTCCGGGCTGGGGATTCGAACCCACCACCTTAGGTGTACGTGGCTGGCGCCTTAGCCGGCTGAGCTATAGGTGCCAAGCCGCTATCTTGGTTTTAAACACGCACCTGGTCCTCTTCTCCACCTCCTTCTTCATCATAGTAATAAACGTTGTCCCGGGTGTCGTCTTCCGGGGGCAGTAAGGGCTCTTTGACCACCTGTCTCCTCCGAAGAAACAGCAGGAGCAGCAGAATCAGGACTGGGGTGGGGAGACAGTGAACGAGAGTCATGAGAACCACAGGCATAGAAGGCAGGAGCAGCAGCTATCACAGGGCACCCCTGCCTCGTACATCTCTGAAGTTGGTATGTCCAATGTGGTGGACAGTGACATCCAAACTCAAGTGTGGTATTGAATTTTTACGTGGAGCTTGAATTCAATCATTATCACATCCCATCCAGGGGAAAGTAGACCAAACAGGAAATAGTAAGGTCCAAGCCCCTGAGGCAGGAGCATGTTTGGTGTGACAGAGGGACAGGGACAGCGCCAGTGCAGCTGCTGCAGTGGGGTGAAAGAGGTGCAGAAGAGGTCAGATGGGTGGGAGGGATGTGTGGCGCACTGCAAGGACTCTGAAGCCATCGAAGGTTTGTGAGCAGGGCTGCTGGGTCAGCCTAAATGTGGCTGACACAAGCATATTATTGTTAACCAGTTATGGACAGGAGGACACATACTACAAAATCACCTGGAATGCTCCTTATTTCCTCTTAAGATAGAATTATATAAGCTAGCTTTAAAATCTGTTTCATTGCCAGGGCTTAAGATCCTCTATCTTGGGTTTATTTCTTGGGATATATACAATGAACATTTAAAAATATAAATATTACATTATTCGTTGTGAATGGAAAAAAAAATGATTCTATGTGTTTTCTTTACAGGTACGTGTGCCCAAGTACCTACATATCAGACCCCACCGAACCATTATCGCACTGAAACAGGAGTCTGCATAGACTTGAGGGGAAGATTTCTCCATAGTACCTGACCTACCTACTGTTTCTGAAAGCAGAAAAATGCCGGAGACCTTATTGAGATAAAGGAACTCCCTTGTCCATGACTCAGCAACAAGAATACTGAACTCCTACTGCACATGCCAACCCCTGTCTCTGCCCAGGGAGACAGTACTAAACGAGGCAATGCAGGCTGCAAAAAGTCCCCTTCTACTCAGAGGTTAGAACAAGAAAGAGCTTATGGGCTTGGTGCCCGTAGCACAGTGGTTATGACTCCAGCCACAAGCATCAGGGCTGGTGGGTTTGAACCTGGCCAGGGACAGCTAAACAACAATGACAACTGCAACAAAAAAATATCCAGGCATTATGGCAGGTGCCTGAAGTCCCAGCGACTTGGGAGGCTGAGGCAAGAGAATCACTTAAGCCCAAGAGTTTGAGGTTGCTGTGAGCTGTGATGTCACTGCACTCGACTGAGGGCAATATAGTGAGATTCTGTCTCAAAAAGAAAGAAAGAAAGAAAGAAACAGCTTATGGTTTCTAAAAGGGATATTCCTTCTGAGTTGTGCCAAAACCCCAGTATCCCCAGTGCCTGAAACAGAACCTGGCACAGAGGAAGTAATCAAATATCGACAAGGAAATATGAAAACCTTCAGGTCTCTTGGTGTCTCACTAGCATATTTTTTCCCTTAAGAAATAAGAAGTTTGGGCTGGGCACCCGTAGCTTAGTGAGTAGGGTGCTAGCCACATACACCAAGGCTGGCGGGTTTGAGCCCAGCCTGGGCCTGCTAAACAACAATGACAACTGCAATCAAAAAAAAATATATATGTATATCTGGGTGTTGTGGCAGGCATCTATAGTCCTAGCTACTTGGGAGGCTGAGGCAGGAGAATTGCTTATGTCCAAGAGTTTGAGGTTGCTGTGAGCTATGATGCCACAGCAGTCTACCCAGAGTGACATAGTGAGACTCTGTCTCAAAAAAAAAAAAAGATAAAAGAAAAAGAAATAAGAAGTTGGGGCTGGGTATGGTGGCCAATACCTATAATCCTAGCACTCTGGGAGGTCAAGGTGGGTGGATTACTTGAGCTTAGAGAGTTCAAGACCAGCCTGAACCAGAGCTAGACCTTGTCTCTAAAAATAGCCAGGTATTGTGGCGATCGCCTATAGTCCCATCTACTTGGGAGGCTGAGGCAGGAGGACTGCTTAAGCCAAAGAGTTTGAGGTTACTGTGAGCTATAACGCCATAGTACTCTACCCAGGAGAGAGTCTTACAGAGTGAGACTTTCTTAAAAAAAAAAAAAAAAAAAAGTTGGACATAGTATTTAAGAAGAAGTTGGACATCTGTATTTATCCACCCACTACTCCTTTAAATGTTGTTCTACAAGGGAATCTTTATTTAGCAAATATAGGCAATCCTATTTTAAAATACATTGTTTTAGATATAAATATATATTTTCCTGAATATACTAATCAGTCACCACTATCCTCAAAGCAGACTGGTCCATTCAATTATAATTTGACTCAGAAGTGGGAGGGCCAGGGCTTGTGCTACTGCACTCAAGATGAAGACAGAGGACAGGCAATGAGCCTGATCTCACAGTATAATAAAGCCATGAAAAGCCTAGAAAGCTTGAAGAGGCTGGCAGCAGAGGGCAGAAGCCAGTGCTTCCCAGCAAGCATCTCCTGAAGGTTGAAAGACATTTCCTCTTCTCTGGGAGTCTGCGCTGAACCGGCAGCAAGATCCATGGCACCCTTGTCCAATTTAAATCGAAAGCCCTAGATTTAGTCCTGGGGCTTCCTCTGCAAACCTTTTCCCACTCCAGCCCACCTGGCCTGCTTTCTGCCCTACAGACCCCGCCCCACTCCCTCTGTGCCTTTGCTCACATGGAAACGTTCCCAAATGCCCCTCTGCCTGTCTGAATGCTACCAGTCCCTATGGCCCAACCACATATATCTTCTATGAAACCTTCCTTGAGATTCAATTACAGTTTGTTCTGACTGCAAAGGCGTGTGTGAACTAGGCCACTCCTAGTAGTCCTTAATTTTACATGGTCTTTGATGGTTTTCTAATTGATTTGCAGTCACTTGTTTTTCCAAGCCATAACAGCGTCTGTGTCAACCCCAGAGCTCCCCACAGAGGGCTCCAGTGACATGGGTTGTAGAAGAAACTGGCAACCTCCCTAGCATCCTTTTCCTCCTTCATCCTTTTAGTCATTGATACTCACTGCTCACCTCCCCATCCACCCCATGCCCCTGCCAAATTTTAATCAGGCACATGGTCACCCAGTTAGCTTGGGAGCTTCCAGAATACCTTGCAACTAGATGTGGCTGTGTTTGGGACGATAGGATGTGAGTGGAGGTAACATATGCAACTCCTGAATGTGTGGATTCCACTTCTCTCAGTCTCCCTCCAGGATAGAATGTAGAGGTGGAGGTGGTGAGCTAGCTAGCTTTGACCTTGCTAAGAAGGGCAGCACCCCAAGGCTTACAACCTCGTTAGCATCACACAGGAGCTGGTTAGAACTGCAGAGTCTGAGGCCCCACGCTAGACCTCCTGGAAAAGAATTCTTATTTTATTTACCATGAGGCACAGGTGATGGGTATGTACTCAAGCTTGGGAAACAAACACTGACCTAAAGGATATAAAGAAACAAAAGAGAAAGAACCAGGACATCATGGAACAGGGCTGCCTTCTAGTCTGGACCACTTACCTCTGAAATGTTACCCCTGAAATACATAAACTTCTATTTAAGCCACCATACTCAGGAGTTTCCTTATCGGTTTAACCTGTACCCTAACTGGTACAAGAACAAAAATCATTTGTAAGAAACAAATCTTTCTGGCTCGGCGCCTGTGGCTCAAGTGGCTAAGGCACCAGCCACATGCACCTAAGGTGGCAGGTTCGAATCCAGCCCGGGCC